TTATTAAGACACAGGACTGAAAGGCAGGACTCCCTGCTTCTATTTTCAGCTCTGCTAGTGACAGAAGTCGCCTTGGGAGATGATTTTGGCTGAGCCTGAGCGATGTGGAAACCCAGAGTGAGGTATTTAGGCTTGTGTTTAGCCTTGTAAATGAATAGCTGGGTTGCAAATCACAGCAGGATTGCTTACATGAGTAAAGATGATGGATGCTCCTAGCTAAGGGTAGGTGCAATACGATGACCCCTAGAAAAGTCACAGTGGTATCAGTGTTATGATTCTGATTCACCAAAGATTTAAACTGAGCTGTAAATAGTTCTGATTATGAGGCGCTCTGAGTGTTAAAAGGCATTTGGCAATCTCTGTTTCTCTTCGGTATGGACGTGCTTTCACCTTGTTTTTTTGTCATTGCTGCATTTTCATGGCCTCTGATTTACATTGAAGTTTTAGGATCTTGAACACCAGCATTTTACAAAGACCACAGCAAATGGATTGCTGGGATTACAGATGGATTGCCCATAAGCATTTTGGTTTTGTTTTAGCACAATTATCAATGCCTTGTTTACATCCCCAAAGTAATTTTTAAGTGTTTTGAATGTTTGAAGTTGTTTTCCATTGTGCAGCTTTCAAATGCCTGTAGTAAAATACATCCTTCCTTTCCAGCTTTGCTCTTTCCAATTAAATAAACAATAATTTCCCTTTTCCAATTCCAGGGAAAGCCCGCAAAGCGTGTAACAAGCACAGTGGCTTATTTTACACGCTTGTGCCACCTCCTTGTATTGTATCCATCTCCATCACATCCAGGAATCCAGTTGCTAATTATTGGTGCTCCATCAGAGGAAGCCCAGTGTTTTTGCATGTCAGCAAATGTTATTTGAATACAAGTATTTCAGGAATAAATTTAAAGGTGTGGGTTTTTTTTTTTTTTTTTTAATTCTTATGTAGAAAGCTGTGTAGATTCCAAGGGGGTTTCTTTTGGAAGGCAAATTAGATGATTAACCTGAAAAGCTGTATGATGATTCTGTCATATGCTTTTACTGAGGGGAAAAAAGAAAACGACAATCTTTCCTGTTTCAAGTCATTTTAAGTATTTTTTTCTGAGAGGGAGTTCAGTCATTTCTTTTTCTATTGCTAACATGAAGCACAGTGGATATGAAATCTGGATATGCAGATTTTGTGCTGGGATTTATAAATTGTAATAAGAAGCTTGCATGGGTGTTTTAAGTTAACATAACCTTTGGATGTAAAGCCAGACTTTGGAGGACTTTGGATTTATTAGTATTAGCAGCAGATAGATTTGCACAGCTGAGTCTTGGCTGAGCTTAAAGGTCTGAGCAATAGATGTGGGGGGTGCTGGAACAGCAAAAGGTGCTGGGTGCCGGTTGGAATGAGTGGTGGGTGAGAAGATGCAGTGACATGATGTGTCCTCCAGTGGCTCCAGGAGGCTGGAACCAGCTTCCTCTGTGGAAGAGAGAGTGGTCCAAAACCACACGCTGCCTTTGGCATCCTGGCCTGGGTTTGAGAGAGGCTGGTGCTGGCTCCAGAGGTGCATTGTGTAGGACCCAGCTCCTGTCTGCTTGGGAGGAGGATATTGTCTTCTCCAAAGCTCTAAGCAGAATTGGCATCTTTAATGTAAAAATCATTAGACGAGACATAATTAACGTTCCTTATTGCACATTAACATTACCCAGAGTCAGGCTGCAGACATAATTTGCTTTGATTAGATATGTAGCTTTAAAAATTAGATTCATCCCAACCTCTACACTATTTATTGGCCTGTTTCCCTTTCACTAGCTATCCATTATTATCTGGAGCCCTTTCCTGTGCTGTCTGGGTAGATTAGGTGAAATTGAAGCAGAGTCGACCTTCGTGTTCCCCACTGCCCTCCCTCCGTGGGAGCTCAGAGGATACACACCGTCTCCGGTGTGGACATACCTGAGCTTGCTTCTTCCACCTCCTATTCATGAGGGGTCTACAGATCCTTCGAAGCCCCTCAGGAGCCATACAGACCCAAAGTCCCTGAATTCGGTTTCCTTGCGGAAAGGTTTCATTGTATTAGTCTCCTTTTACAGCTTCCCAGAGGTTTGTGGACCACAGGGTCAAGCAGAGCAGCTGTGCATCACCATGGAACTATTTTGGGATGCTTGTGTAGCTCACCCTGTGATGAGCCAGTGTCTGCATCCATTGCTGGCAGGACTGTTCCTTACCCAGTGGCTGAACGTCCCCGTCGGGACTGAGAGGGAGGGGGTAGATTTTGGTCCACGTGGGATTTGGCCATGGAGCTCCCATGCTTCACTGAGGAAGCTGGCACCTTCCCCGTTGCCTCCCATGCTCGGCAGTGCTGTAATTACTGCTGGCCCTGCGAGTGTGATCTGCATCAGGTATCCCTGGCAATGAGAGCCCTCGGGAGCGCAGAGCCAAAATTACAGCAGCGTGGAGCTGGGCCTGGGGAGATGAGGGGAATGGAGAGGCTGGGGATGAGGCTGCAGTGATGTGCTGGGCAAGGGAAGAAGCAGCACCCCGATGTCCCACAGCACCCAGATGTCCCACTGCCCCAGCAGCACCCAGACCTGCCCTGGCTCTCACCACATAACCACTGCTTGCTCAGTCCACCCTTGGGATTCAAAGTGATTCTTTTCCTTTCTTTTTTCTGCCTCATCAATATATGTCCAGTGGCAAACTTAACATACAGGACTCCTCTTTCTCGTGGTGTTTGTGCCTGCCAGGACTCATTGTTTGAGCATGGCTTCATTCTGGATCCATCCAAGGTGGTCACCTTCCCCAGCGTGGTGTGCAAGTCTGTGTTGATATTGGCACTTTGCTTTCAGCACCTGCCCAGGCATTTTATTGTGAAGTTTGGTTATAAAAATACAACCCACATTCTACTTCTTTAATCAGAAAATGTAGGATCATCTTTTCCCCTGATCCCTTTCCATTATCTTTTTTGTTTTCCTCTGCTCTTTCTTCTTTCATTGATTATTCATTTGTTTCTTGCTCCAACACAGAAGTTTGCAGCAAAATCTGGGCCACCTCGGGAGCGAAGCTGCCTGACCCAGTTGCAGCTCCTTCCCTCCAGCGGTACAGAGCTCTGCTCCCCCCTGGCACGGTGCGGGCAGCAGCGGGGTCCCGTCTCCAGCTCCCCAGGCTTGGCCCAGGCAACCTGGAGGAGGTAGGGATGGATAGAGTCCACCTGGCTGCAGGGCAGGTTGTGCCTGGCATTTTTATGGCACGGGTTTTAAAAGACCAACTTGGGGAGAAAAAACATTTGAAGTGAGACCCAGAGGAGACAGTAAGGAACATCACAAGTGGGATTGCAAGGGATGTTTTCTTACTCTCTTGAGGTTGTTTCAAGTCTCTGGGCACCAGATCTGGTGTGAGAAGAGGAAATTTGCAGTGAGAAATCAGACAATTGTCCTTATCTGGTCTGCGCTGAATTCATCTTGCTGCTTGCAAAGCTCGGCCTTCGCTGAGATGGGTCTGAAGGTCCCTTACCTCCAGCCAGCAGGGATGCTTCAGCCTGTGGTTCGAGTAAATAGTACAAGTACCCCTATTTTTACTTGTTACTGTGACATTAATGGTCATTGCAAAGCCACAAGCATGACCTGGTGGTGTGAAACTCCTTTTCTTTATACAACGAAAAGGAACAGCACCCACCAGCTGAACCGTACCTTATAAATATTCAATATGCAGTTTGTAGGAATGTGAGACAAAGCCAGACAGATGAATTATTTAATGCTTTTAAAGAATGCAGCTTTTAGTTTCTCCCTGCACTGGCCTACTTTATTGTATCAGTAAATCGATCTTTAGTAAATTAATTTCCTTCCTTTCATTTGAGCAAGCAGTGGGCATCGCGGGCTGGTGGACACCTTCTCCATCCATGAGCTGATGCCAGGACGCCTCCGTAACTGCTGACTCGGGCGTCAAGTGTCAGAAGAGAGTCAAGCTCCTTTGATTTTGCATGAGTACATCCAGTGGTCACGAAAAGCGCAGAGCGGGCAGTTGTGATGGGGACAGATGTGAATGACGGGGTGGTGGGGCACTCCTGAGGCTGCGCTTGGGACAGCACGTGGCAGTAGATGTCAATGAGACCTGGATGCATAGTAAGGAGATTTTGAGAATCTCCCCTATTTCATGGTAAATAAGAGACTGAGAGAGCTGATATAGAAGCTGGGTCCCCCCCAGCTCCTGGCTGGCTGGGGCTCCTTCGTGTCCCTGCAGGGCTGGGACAGAGAGGCCAGCCCAGCTCCCTCCCTGATGGCAGGGTGTCTCTGGCTTCATCCTAAGGTACTAACAGCACCAAGATCACGTTCCTTGGACTGGATCAAACCCCTGCTGTGTCCCATGTCTCGCCACAGAAGAGCAGAGTAACAACCATCCGCCTCCCACCGATATTATAACAAATCTAAAAAGTTGCAAGCATTTCCAGGCAGTGAGGAGTTAATCTGGAGTACCTGTCTAAGAAAGGAACATTAAATTCACCCAAAAATGTCCTACCCTGGCAAGGATGGGAAATGCAGTCCCAACCCTGTGTAAGCTTTTGTGGGTGCAAATGCATAAGCAGAACATCAGTGGAGTTTTCTCTGGGTTGGTGGTCAGCCTGCGCTCCCGCTCATCAGCCGGTCTGGTCACCTCTTATCACATTAATAAATTTCCCTGCTTGTTTGCACGCTTGTTGAAAGCATGTTGCAGTGAGAGCTGACAGTTCCTTGGGGAAATAATGTCAGAAGTGATTAGAGCAGCCAGCTGGGAGGGGAGCTGGATTGACACTGGCCAAACTGGGAACAGTCCACTGGGTCCATCCACACATAGCTAAAAACAGGGACTTCACTTTCCCTTTTTACGTGGTGTTGTAGTAGCAGCACAGTAAATTCTCCTGGAGAAATATGTCCAAAAATGCTCTCTGGACTAGTATGATGAAGTGTGAAAAATTCCTGCTCTGAAGACTGACGTGTTCTCTCTTTTTTTCTTTTTATTTTAATTTTTATTTATTTTATGTTACATAGTTTTCTACTAGTTTTCTCCTGCCTGGTGCTGTCTGTCTTTTCAACCATCGATGAGTACCAGAACAGCTCAGAAGGAGCCCTTTACATTCTGGTAAGTGGGGGGGGTGCAAATGAAACTATCAGTGGGACATTAAAACAAAGTCAAAACCACACAAAATACTGAAGTTGGGGGTGTTTAACTGGGGCAAGAATTTAAAGTGTCACTTGTGAGAAGGGAACCACTAGGACCTACAGGTAAGAAATAGGAAAAATGTGAAAAGGAGAAATCTGTATCAGGAATAAACTAAAAATATTTTTAAGGATCCTTTAAACCCTTCTTCCTAAACTTTTTTATTTTTTCCGCATTTATCTTCAATTGCAAAACACGGTAGCAAGACTGATCCCAACTGAAAAGCAGTTTGATGTCCCACAGCTCCCAATATTTAAAGCTGCAGATGCGGTGTGTAGGGAGCAGCCCGCGTAGCTGCCTCCTCTCCCACACTAGAACATCCCTGCAACTATTTGATCCGACATCAAGCTGCAGAGTTTTGTTCCTTAAATAGCCCGGCATCCCTCGCACTGACAATGTGGCTTCTGCCATCAAGAGCCAGCAGAGATGCTGCACACCCCGCCACGTCGCAGGGCTGCCGGGTTCACGCGTCTCCTTTCCTATTGCCTTTCTTCCTCTTCCCCAGTCCCTGCCCCACATCGACATCAAAAGGTGCTGCAGACTAATTAGGGCTTTGTCAGGTTTGGCACATGAGGAAGCTGAGGCAAGTGCCGCTAATAAAGGAATTGGAGGGAAACGAGCGTGCGCAGCTTATTCGGGTGGCGATGGAAAGAACTGTGACGCACAGCATTGGCGTCCTCACTTGGCATCAAGGGATAAAGCGTCTCCATCCCTCAGCACCAGATAGCCCAGCACGCAGAGACAACCAGTCCAGTTTTCTAGGGAAAAACTCAAATCCTCTGTGAAGAGTCCTAGGATGGAGTAGCTGGTTATTCCCATCTCTAGTTTTCCCTGAGCTGCTTGGTGTTATCCTAGTCAAGTCCTGGAGACTGATGGTGGGGAGATAAACAGGTACTAATCCGTCCTGTGATGGGAGACACCGACACAATACCAGAAAGTGTAAAACTAGTTCACAGGCTACAATATGCAGAACATCTCACCAGCCCAGGGAGGGTGAGGGAGGGAAGACACAACAGCAAAGATCTGACAATGTTTCCAGCCTGGGCTCTCCATCCTGGTGCAGACAGCTCTGCAGTATGTTTTCTGAGGTGTGCAGAGTTTAGGTCATGGCTTTGTATTTGATTCTGGAGCGTGCTCCCCATCACATTTCTTTCTCGACTAACAGCGTTGTCTCCCTCGCAGGAAATCGTCACCATCGTGGTGTTTGGGGTCGAATACTTTGTGAGGATCTGGGCGGCCGGCTGCTGCTGCCGATACCGGGGCTGGAGGGGAAGGTTAAAATTTGCTCGCAAGCCTTTCTGCGTCATCGGTAAGACCTGCTTTCCTGCATGGGATTTTTCCTAACCAAAATGGCCATTGCAAGCTCTTGCTTGCACGGTGCTCCGGTTTCTTGCATGCTTTTTGGGGGTTGATCCTCAGCTGCTTCGTGATCACCTTGAGAAAGGGAAGAGCACAAGGGCAAAAGTCCTAATCCATGGACAAGCTTTTTGTTATTCTGCATGAGGTCTGTGCTGTCTTCTGCAGACCTGGGAGCCATCCCGTTGCCCTGCGTACCCCAGGCATCGCTGACAACTGCCGGCAGCCACAGAAAGGGGGTTTAGCCAGGAGACGCTGAGCATAGGAGCTGGGATCCTGCGATCCTGTGTCCAACCTCGACACTGAATTACTCACAAGTCATTGAAATTCTCTGTGTCTCACTTTGCCTTCCCTGGTGCTGATGAGCTGCCTCACAAGGGAGTTATGAGACTTAATTAATTCTTGTTTGTAAAGTACTCGGCGATCCTCTTGTGAAAGGGGCCATCTGTGCACAGCAGTTATTTCTAACGGGGTAAGGAGTGGGCAGAGAGGCCGTGCCATTCGCTATGGAGCCTGCTTTCAAATGCCTGGGAGCTGGCAATGGTCATATGAAGGATTTTAGCTTATTCCACAGAAAAGCACTCTGATAAAATTTGCATAGAAAACCAGGGAAGAGGGCAGTTTTCAGGATCCTTAAATTTTGAATATATAAAGTAAGGATTTTTTTCTTGGCCTTTCTTTGTTCGTGAGCACCTTTGGATTGCTATGGTGGACCTCTAGGTTTTCATGCCCAATTTAGACGGGGAGCTCACACCTCTGGACAGCGCTGTGTAACGGGCAGCTGTGGCTGATTAAAAAAGGGCATGCATTTTGCAAAGATTTAGTGCAGTTTAGCAGTGTTAACACTGCTATCATCAGAATTCAGGCTTTGCCATATTTGACACATTTTCTATGGGAAGGATGAGTGTGGAGAAGGAAACTAGGATGCTTCCATAAGGTATGTAGTGGCTCCTTTCATCCAGGTTAAGATTTCTGCTGTGTCCTTCCAGCACAAGATACAACTGATACAAGACCCCTTTCATGCACAGCCTTCTGCTGCCAGTGGTGGTGGGAGTGCCATCCCACTTGGTAGTGGGTCAGCAGCATTTCTTCAGCTTTCAATGCCCTCTGTTCGCGCAGACATCATGGTGCTGATCGCTTCCATCGCCGTGCTGGCAGCAGGGTCCCAAGGGAACGTCTTTGCCACCTCGGCGCTCAGGAGTTTGCGGTTCCTTCAGATCCTGCGCATGATCCGCATGGACCGGCGGGGCGGCACCTGGAAGCTCCTGGGCTCTGTGGTCTACGCACACAGTAAGGTGAGCAAGCCCCAAGCAAGGATGTTGAGTTGCTGTTTGTGTTCCCCCCTCCAGAGACACCGCTTTGGTTCAGTTCTCTGCCCCAAAGATCTCCCAGGCCTGGGGAGGTTGGAAAGACACCATACGATAACACGGCGAGCAATGCAAAGTCAGAGACACAAGGTCCGATGGAGCCCTCCAACCAGGAGCGGAGAGAAATGAGGGATGTTTAGATGTTTGCAGGGAATATCTTGCACACGGTGACCACCTGCACACTGACACAGCTCATTTCAAAGAGTTAGCGGTTAGCCAAGCAGCCTCGTTAAGCATAGGTGTTGCTGTGAGTTCTTTGTCTAGGGTGCACGCTCCAAAGCGGATGCATTTCTGAAGGTGCACCCTCCGAGCAGCAGCCTCTCGCAGGCGTGATTAATTGCGCCGAGTTCCTCTTCCCAATGTGAGATCGCGGACCAGTCACAGAACCGATCCCTGGTGTAAGGCGCTTTGGCCCTTCTCCTGTTTGGGAAGAGTTTGTTGATAATTTTTATTTTGTTTCCTGCTGCTTAAATTTATGAATTTAACATTTTTTCCTCTTTCCTGCACTTTTCCCCCAAAAAACTTAGCTTATCCAGACCTATGTAAAAATCATAAGGAATTTGTGTCTCTTTTGTCCATACTTGTATTAACTTCATCCAAAAACAATCACTCCTGTGAATTCGGAATTAAAACTTCCCTGAAATTGGGGTGTTGTATCCAGACCCCAGCTTTGTAGCTCCTCCCCAGGAGGGGACCTGCCCTAAGCAGAGTCCCCAGGGATTTGGGGGTTCCCATTTCAGTTTTAATCCCGCTTCCTTGTGTTGACTGGGGAAATAGGTCTTTTTATTTCAGTCTCAGTTCCACATCTTGAGTTAATGGAGCTATTAACACTCCCTTTCCTTCTCCATTTGCTGTATGTGTTTAGATGATGGGGTCTTCAGGATGGGGATTGTCCTGTGTGCGTGGCAGGGCCACCACTAGCACGTGGTCCCATCTCAAAAAGTGGCAGGACTGATCTCCAACCGAAGCCCCAAAGCCTAAACAAATGCAGGAACAGTTCAGACCTGAGGCCAACCGCAAGCGACTCAGCTTTTGGAGATGCAAACCGGGATTGCAATTATTCTCTTCTGTCCCTTAATGATCTTGCAGGAGCTGATTACTGCCTGGTATATTGGCTTCCTGTGCCTCATTCTGGCCTCTTTCCTGGTATACTTGGCCGAGAAAGGAGAAAATGAGCACTTTGATACATACGCAGATGCACTCTGGTGGGGTCTGGTAAGTAATTTTCCTAGAACAGCTGCTGGTTGTTAAAATAAAATGTCCATTAACCCTCCATCTCCTATCACTTACGTGAGGAATCGACTTACGGAGTGCTTAGTTAACATTTTTATTAAATGGCTTTGGGCTACTCTATTTAGCTCTTTTTCTTAAATAAAGCTTGTAGAAAATGTGGAGGGATCACATTTCTTGAATTAGCTGGAGCTGCAAGGAAAATGGGAACTCAAATGCTCTCAGTCTTGGGATTTAGCTCTATCGTGACAGTAGAAGCAGGTCAGATTAAAAGACCCCATGCTACGGGGTGCTTTGATCATCATTTTGACAGGTATTGCCACCTTTTAATTATTTAAAATCGTACTTAGGCAATGTGCTGTTAGACATGCTGGAATAAATTTTATAAAATTAATAGGGCCTAAGTACTAGAAAGACTTGAGTGCTGAAAGCACTCCTCTTTCACATCTTTGCTGACAAAGGAGGAAAGGGCAGTACTTGTAGTTTGCTCTGTGTGCGCGTGTGCATGTGAATTATTGGATTACCCGATTAACAAAGAAAGAATTAATGACGTTCTAATCTTCTTGCATTATTGTTCTTCTGCTCTGACACTGTGGCGCTAGTTTGGCCTTGATTACAAAGCATGTAATGAAAATCCCAGATCTGATCAAATCCCAATAACAGGCTTGGGGAGGAATCGGCTGATCAAGCAGCTCCTCTGTTCCAACAAAGGGAAAGAAGCACTAAATTGCTTTTCAAGCCCCTTGGTTATGACAGAAAATAAAAACAAAGCCCAATTTGACATAACTAGAAAATAAACAATGAGGAAAAAGTGACAGCCCAGATTAGAGCTCAGTCTCGGGAAAACCATGTGCAGATTTATCCCTCCTCCTTCCCAGGCTGTGAGAACCTTTGGCCAAGGATCACCCCTTCCCTGTTTCAGGACATGGAGGTGCACCAGGCTGTTTTGCCACTGAGAAGCTCAGAGTAAAATTTGAGCTTCATTAAAATAAATAGGTTTTGTCATTGTCCAACTCCTGGGTCCAGTACAGACATGTTAAGAGATGGGCAAAATAAATCAAATTTCAGGTTCAGAAACTCATCCCTTGGTCTGATCGTAGTGGTTCCAATCCTTGTAGTGTTCTATCTAAATTACAAAAACTTGTAAACCAACTTTGCAGTGATTATGGAGAGAGCATTACTTTGACTTTGTGTTTCAGTAAGGAATAGCCATATAGATGCATTTTCTAACCGCTTTGTCAAAATGGCATCTAATTGATAGGGCTTTTAGTGGGTCCAATTAAACAGCGCTTTGGGATCGTACTTCCATTTGTGTAAAAGTGATTTTATTCTAACGCGTGAGGTTTCCAAAGCCACATCAGCACGGTGTCAGCTCCTGTCCCTGGGGCCAGCTCTGTCTGTGGACGCTGCGGGATGGGGACGACTTTCCCCTTGGCACAGGGACTGTTGGGGTCCATTGGGCAGAAGTCTCAAAGATGATGTTCCTAATCAGACCATCTCTCCCTGCCTTGCCCTGCCAGTCCCAGGCTCTTCAGACCCTCTCGGAAGCCTTGGGGGATACCCAATATTTCCCACTAGTGAGGTCTGTGGACTGAAGTGGGAAAATGCATCTTTTCCTGCAGTTTGGAGTTCAGGAGATTCTTTGTCCCCAAAAAATCTCTCGGCTTCTTTTCCAAAATACGTGCAGCAGCTTGCCAGCACTCTCTTGGTGTATTGCAATAATACTGGGGAGGGGAAAAACATCCCTAAATTAGATTGTATGAAGCAGCCATAATTCATCCTGGCCAGCTAATGTGCTGGTTTTAAAGAGGAAGGGAGACCAGCTAATAGGCGCTGCTGGGAAGATTAGGAATAAACAGCATCAGTTCTTTATGCACGCAGATAGCCCTGCCTGCTTTCGTGAGATGCCGAAAGGGAGTTGGGGGAACTGTGCCGGTTCGCTTCCCCTGCCGAAGGCATAACCCCGTCTCCCGGGGGAGGCTCCGAGCTGGCGCAAGCC